AAACGCTAACAGCTTCTCAGTACAGGTCCAATTCAGAGAAAAACATCTCTACCTTTTAAAATAACTAAATCCTCAGAAGAAGGGGGTAATGTTTTACGTCGTTACCTTGTCGCTCCATGTCAGTGTTTGTGCTGTAACACGTAACAGCATGTACCAATGGCTCAGTTTAGGTTTAGGTTTATTGTCATACGCAGATCAACACAAGGTCAACAATGCAATGAAAAGAACCATCTCGACTCGCCAAAAAAAAGAAAGAAAGAAATATCAAAGCATGCAATAAAAAATAAATAAATAAATCAAGGCACCAAAAGAGAAAAAGCAATACATCTACAGCAGTGTGGTCCTATTAGCAGAGTGGTTCTGTTAGCAGTGAGGTTATTTTAGCAGCATGGTACTATTAGGTACTGTAAGTGTTTGGTGATCTAATAAGAAAGCAACAATTTTAAACAACAAAAACAAATATTTACCAAAGCAAATGCAAAATGCCTTTTCAAGGGCGATTAAAGGGTATATTTCAGCACCAGTTTATACAGAGGAATAACTGTTGGATATAGAGACAAAATAACTTTTTGGAAAACTTAACTACCGGGTAATCAGCAGAGTATTTTACAAGACACATAGTCTTGTAGTCTTAGCCATGAAAACCTCTCCCTATATTAAGAAGTGTGAGGTCTAAAATCTGTCTGCTCTAACAGGATTATCCCTCTCTTGGCTGCTCTCCTTGTCCATTCCTTCTATTTATATATATATCAATTGTCAACTTGAACCACTAATCTTTGTGTGACCAGAAGTTCAACAGTTTATCATATTTAAAAATACATCAATCTGTAGGATAAGGTAAGCTCCACATGTGCAGAGGTTCAAGTTTATGACTGTCAGAACCTAAGTGTCTGACAGTGTTTTGACGTCTTGTCACTTTTGATAAACTAAAGGGAGCATGGTTCACTCATTCTTTGTTGTCTTCGTTTTTCTCTGTCTCATCATATCTGTTTAATCTAAGTTAAAGCATATGTTTTGGTTTTTAAAATCCAGCAGTAAAATACAGTTTCCAAGAAAAATAAAGTTAACAAGAACCAGTTGTAAACTGTACGAGATGTTTAATTAAAGGATGCCATGTCACACTCCACCTCCTGAATCCATCAGCTGAGGAGTTTCATCCATCCATCCATCCATCCATCCATCCATCCATCCATCCATCCATCCATCCATCCATCCATTATATTTACCCGCTTCTTCCTTTGTGGGTTGCTGGGGTCACTGGTGCCTATGTCCAGCAATCACTGTGCGAGAGGTGGGGCACATCCTGGACATGTTTCCAGTCCATCACAGGGACATAGAGACAAATGAGACAAACAACCATTCACTCTCTCACTCACATCTAGGGACAATTTAGAGTTACCAATCAGTCCAACATGCATGTTTTTGGTCTGTGGGAGGAAACTGGAGTACCTGGAGAAAACCCACACATGCACGGAGAGAACATGCAAACTCCACCCAGAAAGGTCTCCTGGCTGGGATTTGAACCAGCAACCTTCTCGCTGAGAGGCAACAGCTCTACCAACTGTGCCATCATGCTGCCCTGAGGAGTCTCGTACCACTTTTCAAAGATGTCACCACAACCTCAGGTGGCCTTGGATGAAACGCTGATCATCAGTGGGCTCTTCAGTCTCAACCTGCCTCGTCTTTGTGGTTCTGTTGAGGTGTGATCGACCTCTCTAGAGTCACTCAGAAAGACGAGAATGACACAGCCTCGATCCAGCAAGGCATCTTAAAGTTTTCCTTCTGGTGATAAGAAAAGCCACATTTGATTTGGCTCATGGGTAGAAGCTACAATGGGGTCAGGTTGATCCAGACTCCCCAGTTTTGGAAAAACTGAAATTGTCCCCATTAAAAAATTATTAAATTTATCAGTTACATCTTTGTATCACCAAGTTTGCTCTGTATTCATCCATGTTCCAGTTCAGGTTCTTTAAATAACATCAATTCATTACCAGAGGGCATGTTACAAAAACAGTATACAATTAAATCAATTGCTGAACAGTTTAATTCTATTCTTATTAACTATTCTAATTAACATCTCAAAAGCTCAAATAATACCTCAACTGTATCCCCAAATCCCAAATGAGTTGAAAAGGAGGTGCCGTGGATGCATTCCCATCTACCTGGAGGCGGTGCTCAAGCGCCTGACCACTGAGATATTGGAGGTGGCAGGAAACGTGGTTCGTGACAGCGGGAGGACCGAGGAGTTTTGCCCGGCATTCAGGTGGTCCTGCTGCACAAGAGGACCGAGAGGTCTGCTGGGTCTGGGTGGAGGGTCCGGCATTGGCAACCAGTTTCTTCAGATCCGCTGTGGGACAGACTGCTACAAGAAATCCTTCCTGCCCACAGCCATCAGCATCTATAACAACTCAAATGAAACCTGGATGAGCTACAACAACAATTTCCCTTTGGGATTAATAAAGTATTTTTGAATTGAATTGAATTGAATTATTGTTAGTCTAAATTACGCCAAATTCAGTTCAATCAGTTACACACATCAAGTTTTCAAGCTAAAGAAGCTGACATAGATCATATTTTCACTCTAATTCAGTCCTCGTCCTGACCACCATCTGATGGATTTAATGACAAATTACGACTTGTGTTTTGTAGAGACGAGTCATAAAAGCAGATGACTTGGTTTTAGGTTTTGGATTTTGGAAACTGTTAAACATTGAAGTAAGTTGTGTATTATTACTAAGTTATTTTATCGTTTTGTCTGAATTCTCTGAAGAAACACCTGAATCAGATTTTGTCGGTTGCATTTTCTGTGATTAAATGCATCGTTTTATGAAAGCTAACAATCAGTCTTCCTCTCTTTGTGTTGGAGAAAGATTTTGAGCTTTGTTTTCATCCCTTTGTAACTGTTTTGTATATTTTTTGTTGTTGTTTTTTTTACTCGATTTTTGATTCATTAATAGAAGTGCCACGTCTCTTTCTGATACTATTCCAACCATGACTGATCCAGAATAAACCTTTCATTAATGTAAGGAGCATTTCAGTGTTGAGTCATTAAAGTCCTTTGTTTAGACAATGTATCATTGAGTAAAACAATTTGTCAAAGATTCAAATTGTTGACTGAGTTACAAAAAAGTATTTGTTCCTAAATAGCAAAAGCAAAATCTAATTCATTTGAAGAAAAAAAAGACTACTGAAAACATTGCTTTCCCCTGGTTCAAATAGTCCATAAATTTGTGCGTCACATTTTAAAACTTTGTTTTCCAACCCACTCTGACTTTAGTTGTAAAGTCCTTTAAATAGTTGTGGAGAACCAAAGTACCGTACACAGCAGACAAAAGTAAAAGTCTTAAAATTTGGTTAAAACAATTAGATCAGAGAAAATCACAGCATATAAAACACCAGTAAAACACTGAATAAGAAAAAAAAGGGGGTTTTAAGAAGAGACGAAAACAGACAGTGAAGAGGTCGGTCTAATATGAAAAACCACATTTTAGGGGCTGCTGCAGCAAAAACAAGACACCCGCCCCCGAATTAGTTTTGTGGACCCTCAGAAGCAGCTAGTCAGCTGATCTGACAGAGCGAGTGGGTGTGTACTGAACATTGGTGTCAGAAGCATTTGTTATGTGGGGGGGTTACACTGGTGGAGGTGTCTGGGGCTCCTCCCCCAGAAAATTTTGAACAAAGTAGATGCCATTTCCTGCATTTCTGGTGTATTCCAATAGGTTGTTAAACATCTATGTTTACCTACATATGTAAACACTTGATTCAGTAACTATTGTAGAGAGCATGGCACAATGCCCCCCCCCCAACAACTGCCGACACTAGCGTAGCGCTAAGCTAGCGGCATACAATACAGGCACACTAGCTAAGATGCTACAGACATAGCGCTCCGCTTCTCTCACACATCCTAACCCCCCACCCCGATCAACAACTGCCCGTACTAACATGGTGCTACGCTAGTACAACACAGAGGTGTCTCCCCCTCCTCCCCCTGCCCCGGAAAAGTGACTAGAGGAAACACTGCATGCGGTGTGGTGCCAAATTGTCGGTAGCCAGGAAAACCCGGAGTGGACTTTTAGTGGAATCAAGTGGAATGGATTAGTTCATGAAAAAATAGAAACATCGCTGGGTGAACTAATATTTCACGGTAAATGTGGGGGAGTCCAAACAAATATATTTTAAATGTGAGGGGGACATGTCCCCTTCAAATGTAATTGCTGCAACACCTACTGAGCGTAAGGGTGTAGCAGCTTGAAAATGCTGGGTGGGTCAAGGCCATTTAAGGATTTAAAAGAAAGAAAAACATGTTTTTAAAGGATCCTAAAATGTACCGCTGGCCAGCGCAACAAAGATAAAACGGGGAATGTGCTCGCGTTGACGTGTGCCAGTTAAAAGTTGCACAGCAGCATTATCCACCCTCTGCAGTCGTGCAACGGAGGACCCACTAACCCTCAGATTGTGTGCTGCAGTAATCCAGCCAGGTGTTGACAAAGCCATGGATCACTGTCTCAAAATGCCTTTCTGAAAGAGTGGTTTACTTTGGACAGTTGCCTCAAATGTTAAACCTCCTATTACCGGTAACCACTGCCCTGATCTGATGGTTTAGTTTGAGCTCAGGAACCAGTTTGACCCCAAATTCCTCATAGTAGATTTGCTTTACTGGGCCAATAATCAGAAATTTAGAGAAGAGAACCCAGTAGTGTCTTCAAAAACCATCACTTCAGATTTTGTCTACTTTTTTTTTTTTTTTGGCACAAATTGTTGGATTTATGATCTTTGTCTGAGGATTAAGGTGAAATAATCTTCCTGTTGGAAGTTTTAAACCTAAATTATTTCCATCTATTTCTTCCACATCCTCCTTTTTTGCAAACCTAAACACAAAACCACTTCTGTTTACCTTAGAAAATAAAATTTTTATTATGTTCCGAATGCCTTGTGTAACGTTTTACGAAGACAACACTCTTTAAAAAGAAGTTTAATGACACAGTTTGTCTTCTTTACAGAGTCTGCTCCCAAGGCGTTCGGCATTCCGCTCTCCCAAGTCATCGCCAACGATCAGGCCTACAAGCGACGGCAGGATGCCCTGAAGGAGAGTAGACGTGACTGTCTCGACCTGGAGGCCAGCATCCTGCGCTTCAGGGCAGAGAAGCGGCAGTTCTTTAACGAGAACAAACCTCTAGTCTGCTCCTCGGTGATTATGGGAGGAGGCCTAAGCTCGCCTCCGTCAAACTCGGTGGCACCGGCGCCGGTTTTGGACTCTCAGAGCAAACAGTTGTCGCCCACCTTTCTGGATAACAGCAGCAGGGGACAGAGGAGGGTGAGACGGCTTATTACATCAATACATACATTTGATATGTTCTCTTTGAAATGAGATTTGAATGGTTGTAAAAGAAGTCTGTTCTTTAGTTTTTCCTCTTTCAGCTTTAGTGTCATACAAATATAAAAAAAGAGCTCAATGTAAAATGGTGAGTGGTTCCAGTGGGTGGGCAGCGACCTAGCGCCCCCTACAGACGACCCGCCCCTGCTTTATTTTCTGACTTTAAGCTGTAAACATTTAAACAATCAAACTTTCTATTTGTTTCCACAGCTGTGGGTTTAAAGCGTGTGTGGAAGTCCTCCATAACACCCTGTAATTGTCTTTTTGCTAATCAGGAATCAGTAATTTTGTTACGCACATAATGAGCATCATTAGAGCTGCAGAGGATGCTAATAAAACACGAACCAGCAATCAAGTGTCCAGGAGATAAATGCTGCCAACACAGCTCCTGTCCAGGAACATTTGAAAACAAACGCTGTGAAATCACACTAATAATCATCGTTCTTTGCGAATCGGATCAACAAATTGTTGGTCTACGTTAGGATTTCAACAGACACAGTTGCAGTTAATGCAATAGAAAAGTAAAAACTTAAAACCAAAATGTTCAAATTGAACAAAAATCCTTAATTAAATTAAAGATATATCATTGCTTAAAGGAGTAATAGTCTCCTGCCGCCTAGTTTCAGACTAAAATCACTGTATGATGAGAAATGACAAACCTTAGAAATGACATTGTGTACAATCTTGCAGTATCACAAGATCTCGTGCGATCTCGAAGCCCTCGGAGGAGGAGTTGTGAATTACTATCTGCTACTACCTGATTCATGCGCAATAATCCAGGTAGAAAAACCCAACAATGTTATGTCAGGTCCTCTGGACGGTTTCTTTTTGTTAAAACGTTTTGTCTTTCATCCAAAGGACTTCATCAGTCTGAGGAGCTGCAACAAACTCAGTCTTATAAATAGCCCCTGACTTAACGTTGTTGGATTTTTCTGGATTATTGAGCACGAATCAGGATATTTTGAACCACTTTGGCCATGATTGTCTCAAACAAGTCAGTGGGGGTGACGGTGGCCTCCAGAAACCACCTGAGCACCTTCAAACTGGTTGAAGGTGCTGTTTATAAGACCGAGTTTGTTGTGGCTCCTCGGACTGATGAAGTCTTTTGGATGAAAGACAAAATGTTTCAACAAAAAGAAACTGTCCAGAGGACCTGACTTAACTTTGTTGGATCTCTGCTATTACCAAACTGTTTAATAAATACCATTACTTTTGAGATAAGTACATGTACAGCGTGCAAATCCATCCATGTGACTCATCAACTTAATTCCCCTGTAGTTGCTACAACACTATACATAACCCTTGTTCTTAAAAAATGGGCACCAGCACACTTTTTTAATTCATACAGGTTAGTTCCCATTGACCCTCAAGGACTCATTTACAAGAGAGACCTGTTACATACAGACATACAAAGTATACGGAAAAGAGAACACAAGAGGGTGGCGGAAGTAAAAAAACAAATATATATATATATATATATATCACACCATATCCTGGCCGGGGCACAGTTTGAAAGATGCTAAATAGACCTTGCAACAGAAACAGCAACATACAATGACATCATAATACTGTACATTTATGCATGAGGAGGTCAACAAAGGCAGTGAGTGGTCCATGGACACTGCCAGACACTTCTTCTCCATTTCTCAGGCACTTTCTCACCCTCAAAAATATAATCAAATGTCATGTTAAAATGTGAAACATAACCTATTTAAGTACATGGTGTTGTTTGAATCTTTTCCCACATTGCTCTGCAGGGTGGGCTGTCAGTGGATTGCATCTCCGACCTCGTGGAGAGTCAATCTCGCCTGCTGGAGGCCCTGCAGCTCTCCCACCCTGCTGAGCTAGAGTTGAAGAAATCAGCGTCAGACGGGAGGACTCAGACCAAGCTCAGCCTCAACCCCATCTACAGACAGGTGCCTCGGGTGGTGGAGAGTTGCTGCAGCCACATAGAGAACTACGGTGATACTTCATGTGCTGTTTGGAGTGCACAACTACCACCATCTCCCTTATATGTTTTTAACTCGTAAATGTTCACAAAATGTAAATTGTATGCGTCTGCGTGTACAGATAGGAATGACAGTTCAATCTTGTCTTTAGGGCTCCAGACTGTGGGCATATTTCGAGTCGGGAGCTCGAAGAAGAGAGTGAGACAGGTGAGAACACTTATCTTCCCTAAAAACAAATGGAGAAAACTATTAAGATGTCAAAAAAGATTGTCTTGCAAGTTTTTTAACAGTAGCTTTTCAATATTGTTTGTGATAAAATGTCCAAGGTAGTACATCGTTGTGAGTTGGAAGGAAAACATTGCATAGATTTAAAATAAGAAAAATGTGGTGGGAGTTTAAATTCAGCCCCTGTGAGACAGTAATTTCTAGCACCGCTTTTCTCTGCAACTCTAGCTACAAGTCTTTTGGGATTTGTTGTTTTTCCTCTTCCAGAAACTATTAAATAAATATTCACCCTTTCTTCTTTGCAAAACTGCTCAAGGTCAGACAGTCTAGATCGAAACAGTTTTTAAATTTAAGCAGCGATTTTCAGCAAATCTTGCCACAGACTCTCAGTTGTATTCTGGTTTTGAATTGGGCTGGTCCATTCTGACATGTGATTCTGCTTTGAGTTCAACCACACCCGCAGCTCTGGCTGGATGTTCCCATCCATTTTCCCATGAACTCTGACCAGCTTCCCTGTCCCTGCTGAAGAACAGCCTCCCCACAGCATGATGCTGCCACCACCATCCAAAAAGTTTACAAACACAAAGCAACTGGAATAATCCGATAAAGTTAAGTCAGGTCCTCTGGATGGTTTCTTTGTGTTGAAACTAAAATAAATAATAAAGTCCAAATAAAGTTCAAATAAAGTGCAGTTGTTTTTGTATTGAACGCTTTTTGAATTCATCATGTCCTGGATGACTGAGAATCTTCATCAGCATTTTGTGTTGAAACGTTTAGTCTTTCATCCAAAGGACTTCATCAGTCTGAGGAGCCACAACAAACAGTCCCAGCACACTCGCATAGTGGGCCAACCAGTTTGATGGTGATAAGATGGTTTCTGGAGTCCGTCTTCTCCCCCGTCGACTCGTATGAGGCAGCCATGGTCAAAGTGGTTAAAACATCAAAGTTCATGCAACAACTGGAATAATATTCTGTAAATGAAGAAGACTGAGAAGCTACACCAGCACGTTGCCATGCACTTTGGGAAGGACACGCTAGGAGGAGTTCAGGAGTGTGAGAAAACGTCAAGGAAACTTGCAGACTACAGGAATCATCTTTGCTTTAGTCTGAGATCTGAGTCTTTTTTTTTTCTTCTTCTTCTTGCTGAGTCACCAGTATGTTGCTTTTTCTCGTGCTAAGGTTTTTTGCAACCTCACACTGTGTCCCGTCAAGGGCACAGTGTGCAATATGATTTTTTTATACCTCTTCTTTCCTCATGTTTTCACTTTTTCCTTATCTAAATGAAAAGGGCAGCGCTTCCCACGAGGCTGCAGCCTCAGGCACCCCCGTCTACCCATATAGTTTTCTTTGAACGGCTGTACTGAAATGTAATTTTATTGTGCTTCTGTGCAATGACAATAAAAATTGATTCTGATTCTGAGATGCAGACAATTAAGACTCAACCCCAGACAGCATCAAACTTAATTTTACTATCAAAGGACACCGAACAGCATAGATGATTCTGACAGCTCAGAACAAGCTAAGTGAGAGAATAAGTCAGGTCCACTTCACTAAAGAGGCTCTCTCACATGGAAATGATCCAAGCTGCCACAAGATGTCCACTCTTTTTTGCCTCACACTGAAAGAATTTTCCAATTTTTTTGAAAAGGTTCAGTCGAACATCAAAAAGGAAAGGAACAACAAAATATGTAAGTTCCTAGAGCGCAGAACTGATTCTTCCTCGTAAATCACCAGACAAGAACGGGAGGATGTCGCCACCAATAGATGTCCAGTTTCTTTGTGTTTGGTGGGTTCAGGGTGATGTTCAGGTTTAGTTTCCTGCCACTTACTGACTTCTTAACAAACTATACTTCTGACTTTCGTTCAACAACGGCTTCCTTATGCCACTTTTCAATAAAGACCAGATTTGTGGAGCGCAACTAAAATTTGTCCTGTTGACTGATTGCTTCCCCTGAGCTGTGGATCTCTGCAGCTCCTCCAGTCACCATGAGCTTGTTGGCTGCTTCTCGGTTCTTTTCTTACCTTGCTCTGCCTGTCAGTTTAGTTCAGGGTTCTGCAACCTGTGGATCTGGAGCCACATGCAACTCTTTGGTCCCTCTGCAGCAGCTCTTTCAAGCTTTGACCAAAACTAACATAAAACTGAATGTTATTGGTTGTTATGCCAACAACTAAAAAGTGCTAATTTTATCAGTTCTCCTGCCATTTATTTTGCAAATATGTGAATAATAGTATTAATACAAGGAGTAAAGCATACTCACTTGAATTTTATGCTTTACATCTTCAAACTAGGATTCTTAATTTTTCCACAATTAAAAAAATCACCTGCTTAGTTAGCTGTTTTTAAATTGTTCAAACATATTTTTCCTCTTCATTACAAGAGTCATTTTTATTTGTCTCAAAATGTAAAAAGTTAATTTTCATTATTCCACCATAATGTTTGCTCTGGTTATGCTTCTTGTTGTTTTTCCTCTTTGGTTTGTTGCATTTTGTTTTTCCCGTTTTTGCGTTTTTTACCCTGTTTTTCGGACTATAAGGCACACGTAAAATCTTTTAATTTTCTCAAAAATCAACATTGAGACTTATAATCTGGTGCACCTTATGTTTTGATTCTGGTTGAGCTTACTGACCAAACTGATTTTATGTGGTTATTGTGAATGAGCTGGGTAAAGTTTGACTTATCTGACTGTTTTGTTTCACTTCATGCGCCTTATATTCCGAAAAATATGGTACTTTCCTGCCATGTCTGATTTTGTACTTTTGATTAAAGTGAATGTTATCTGCCTCTTAAAATGTTAAATTTTTTTTTTTAGATATTTTTAGTTTTTATTATGTCACCCTTACTGGCCAGTAAAGCCCCCTCCAAAAAACTTAAAGTGATCCACGGGCCACCAGTTGATAATTAGAGTTGCAGCAAGTTGTGCGCCTTCGGACACATGTAATTTAGTGAACAAAAGAGAATAAAATTCTCTTCTGATTGTAAAGGTCACTGACCCCTGATGTTTGGTAGGTTTACAGTTGTGCTGTACTTGCCATTTTTGGACAACATGGATTCCTTGGTGGCAGCACGGTGGCGTAACTGGTAGAGCTGCTGCCTCTCAGCGAGCAGGTCCCTGGTTCAAACCCCGGTCCAGGGGCCTTTCTGGATGGAGTTTGCATGTTCTCTCCGTGCATGCGTGGGTTTTCTCCGGGTACTCCGGTTTCCTCCCACAGTCCAAAAACATGCATGTTAGGCTGATTGGTAACTCTAAATTGTCCCTAGGCGTGAGTGAGAGAGTGAATGGTTGTTTGTCTCGTTTGTCTCTATGTGTCCCTGTAATGGACTGGAGACCTGTCCAGGGTGACGCCCGCCTCTTGCACAGTAACTGCTGGATATGGGCACCAGTGACCCCCGTGACCCAAAATGGAATAAACGGGTAAAGATAATGGATGGATGGATGGATGGATTCCTTGGTCTTCATGATGCTCATGACGTCTGATGGCTTCACATGACAGTTTTGAGAGATTAGATTGCACACAGATGGACTTTGTTTACTACTTAGGATTTTAATTTTTAGTTTGAATATAAATATATATATATATATATATATATTTTTTTTTTAATAGTCTAAATATAAATGAACACACATTTCAGATTTTTACTGGAATTGTTTTTTTAAACATCATCATCATCATCAGTATCATTTTCCTTTCACATTGTAATTTGGCAGTACTTTGTATTTTGCTAAATTAAATGTATATATTTTCTCCACATGTGGTTTACTTTTAAAAAGAGGGGTAGGGAATTAAAAATGCTTTAAAGCCCGTGGCAAAAAAATCATATAAATAATAGCTCTGGTATTGCAGCAGCATGAACCTTCATCTTAATCCTGTTGGTCATGTTTCTGTTTGAGGACCATGACCAATGGGAATTTGACGAGTAACCATCATAACATTTCTATTTTAGGGTTTTTGGAAACCTAGATTGAGTTATTTTTTTCATTTAGTTTCCCTCAAACACCAGTGTTTGTAATCACCAGTGACATCTGTCCTCTGACTCACTCTCCAGTGTTTCCCTTCACTTGAAGCTGGAAAATAAAAATAATCTTTGGCTGATGAAATGTGACATCCTGTTATTTAAAGTCAAGTCCTTTGGGTGGAAAGTGGCTCCTGAATAACCCCAACCAGAGCTTACTTTGCTTGTTTTCAATGCCTCTCGTGTTCTTTGTGTCACATTTTGTCGTCTTGGTGTGTGTTCACCTTGTAGCTGCGAGAGGACTTTGACGTGGGGGTGGACGTCCAGCTGGATGACGAGCACAGCGTGCACGACGTGGCGGCGCTGCTTAAGGAGTTCCTGAGGGACATGCCCGATCCGCTGCTGCCCAGGGAACTGTACCCCGCCTTCCTGCACGCCAACTGTACGTACCTGAACTGAACCGTACCTCCTGGAGGTTTTTATTTCTGCCAGTCGTCACCTTGCTGCAATAATTATTGTGACCCCGCATCAAATCCTCAATCAAACCCTCATCCTCGTCTCTTCAGTGCTGAGAGGAGCCGAGCAGCTGCAGTACCTCCAGCACCTCCTCTATCTGCTCCCACCCTGCAACTGTGACACACTGCTGCGCCTCCTCTCCATGCTACAAACCGTGCAGAGCTTCGCCCAGGACAGCATAGGGACCAACGACGAGGAGGTGGGCCCCGTCAGCACTGCTCATATATATTTGACTTCAGAGAGCTAGATAAAAATCAGGGTTCATGCAAGAGTTATTGCTATCAGTCTTTCTTATGACATCCAACAACTAAATGGAGCATGTTTTTTTAGATAACGGACTACACTGTGCAGAACTTTTTATGGGCCTGTCAAAAGCCTTCAACACTGATGATCATGATATCAGAACACAAAGGCTTTTGAATACAGGACCATCAAAACGATCAGGGGATTGGTTTGAAAATTACTTGACTAACAGATAGTCTGTTCAGGTTCAACATCTAACCTCCACCTCACTCAAAATAACAAAAGGTGTGCCTCAAGGATCAGTTTTTGGTCCACTAGTTTTCCATTCATCCATCCATTATCTTTACCCGCTTCCTCTTTTTCGGGTTGCGGGGGCCACTGGTGTCCATATCCAGCAGTCACTGTGCAAGAGGCGGGCGTCACCCTGGACAGGTCTCCAGTCCATTACAGGGACACATAGAGACAAACGAGACGAACAACCATTCACTCTCTCACTCACACCTAGGGACAATGTAGAGTCATCAATCAGTCTAACATGCATGTTTTTGGACTGTGGGAGGAAACTGGAGTACCTGGAGAAAACCCACACATGCATGGAGAGAACATGCAAACTCCACCCAGAAAGGTCCCTGGGCTGGGATTGGGACAACCTGCTTGCTGAGAAGCGGCAGCTACACCAACTGCACCACCGTGCTGCTCTCCGTTAGTTTTAATTATTTATTTTAAATGTTTGGATTATATGTGGGGTGGCACAGTGGCACAGTTGATAGGGCTGCTGCCTCTCAGAAAGGAGGTTGCCAGATCAAATCCCGGCCAGAGACCCCCCTGGGTGGAGCTTGCATTTTCTATTTCAAATGGAACATTTGAATTAGGTGGAATGCTTCTTTAAGAGAACACATTGGGGATTTTTCTTGCTTAAACTCATTTGGGCTAAGCTACTTTGTTTTGCATTTTGTGTATTTCTTTCTTTCTTTTAACATGAGGCAAAAGGTAAAGAAAAAGTCCTATTTTGTTTGGGTGAAAAAAGTTGTCTTGTGATGCATGCTAAAACTCAATTTGGACTTTTTGTTCCCAGTCTAAGAGTTTCAAGGTAAATATTTTGTGTCCTCAACAGAACTGAAATAACCTTGTCGGTGTTTTCTGAACGACACCCACCCATTAACCCACTTCCACTCATCCTGCCTCTTCTTCTTCTTCGGTCAGATTCCTGGTAACAAGATGACGGCCGCTAACCTGGCTGTGATCTTTGGGCCGAACCTGCTCCAGAGGGAATGGGGTGGAGATGTGAGCCCTCACGCAATGGGCATAGAGGACAGCACGGCGAACATCAACGTCACTCTGGTGCTCATCCAGAACTATAGGAGGCTCTTCACGGTACAAGAAACTACACTAATATTTGTCTTTCATTCCCGTCATATTAGTTGTTCTGGAAATTCTAACTTGTATTTTAATATTAGATCTTATTGTGTGAATGCTACGTCAGCATTCAGCCATTTTTGTTAGTTTATTGTATGTTCTTGCAGGTTTCTGCTGAACTTCAGCAGGAGGTCCTGATGAGTCTGATCCAGACGGACCCAGATGTCATCGACTATCTGCTGCGGAGGAAACTCAGGTAAACAATCTCACCAAACATCAACCAAACATCATCAGATCAGCTGTTCAGTTTAACAAAACCCTTGTGACTAATGGTCCTTCACCTGTGTGTGTGTTTTTGCTCCTTCTTAGTGGGAGTCACCTGACTGTGGAGACCAGCAGCGAGTCAGGGGGACGTCGGGACACGGGGGTGTCTCTGGACTCGGTAGGAGCCTCGAGCGGCAGTCTGTCCCCTCTGGAGCCTTCTTCGCTGATTTATCCTCTGGACGGCAGGGGCAGAGAAGGCAGCCTAAACAGTGAAGTCTTCCTCAACGTCCTCAAACTAAACCAGAACAGAAAACGTCAGGAGGCCAGATTTGGTACTCAGGTTTTTCTTTTTTGATTTTAACCCTCAGATTGTTTTGTGGGGATAAGCCATGCATTGTTGTTGGTTCTTTAGGTGTTGTCAAAAACCCTTTTGTTCCTGACCAATTTTAAATAAGTGTTTCTTTCAGCTGCTCTCTTCTAGAGCTGCGATTTCTAGCCCGGGCCAAAATAATGATCTTGATGGGCGGGGCGGTCTCCTGTTTTTGATGCAGTTTTACGAATCAAACAGCACAAAGACAACTAAACTAAACTAAGAATGCACAATATAAAATTGTGTTAATCTACTTGTAGAGGAGGAGGCAGTAAGTTTATATGTTGAGAGGATGAGGAAAGAAAATAGAGTGCAGCAGTTAATCAGACTGTGGAAGAGATCAGCGCTGGCGCATTGCACAACAATTGCGCATGTGGGGTCGGGCTTAATGACGAGCAGGCACGCTTAAACGTCTCCCCTGACATATTGGGCTTTTTAGTCACATTTCTAGAATTGTTTTACCATGCACAGAGAGAACTGGAGGGTGACAAATATCCCATTATCAACCTTGTTTGCCTCTGGTATGAGAAAGTGAAGCAACACTGCCAGTCCTCACAGTGGATCATCAGCTGTGCGCGTCCGCTGACCGGCCAGTTGAAAAAGGTAAAAAAAAAAGTCCAGTTAAGCCTCAGATGGACAACTGGATCATCAGTCGTGCGCTTCCATTGACCGTTAAAAACTATAATAACTATAATATTATAATAACTATAACTATATATATAAAGTTTTAGAATTGCACCACTCGGGGTGGCTGCATGGAGGAGTAGCTCTGTTAAATTCATTATGAATTGTTGCTTATGAAGACTTTAATTCCTCTTTTTCTGGATGTAAATTACTTTTTTTTCTGATGCTTATTTACTCTGGTATCAGATGCTGTGCAGATGAGAGGATTTTTATTGAAATCTTTTTACTTTTTACAACCACGAGCAGCCGATTAACATCTCAAAAGCTCAAATACCTCAACTACAGCCCCAAATGAGTTTGAAAGGAGGCTCCGTGGATGAATTCCCGTCAACCTGATGGCGGTGCTCAAGTACCTGGCCACCAAGATCCTGGAGCTGGTGGGAAACTTGGCTTGTGACAACAGGAAGACCGGGATCGTCCCCCGGCACCTTCAGCTGTCTGTCCGTGGTGACGAGGAGCTCGGCAGACTGCTGGGAGGAGTGACCATCGCTCAGGGAGGAATTCTGCCCGGCATTTGAGCAGTCCTGCTGCCCAGGAGGACCGAGGGGCACGTTGGATCTGACAGCAAGTTGGATCTGGGTGGATGGCTCTTTGGCCAGATTCTTTGGATTTGTTGCAGGAGATCCTTCCTGCCATCACCTATCAACATCTAACAATTCTTGAATGATGATGAGCTACGACAACACTTAATTTCCCTCTGGGAATAATGAAGTATTTTTGAATTTAATTTAATTTAATTAATCAACTGACTCTTGTTAATATACAAGAAATCTTATATTTTCCTTTCTTTGAAATACATATTTTACGACTATCAAAAATACTTTATTAATCCCAGAGGGAAATTATTTGTTGTTGTAACTCATTATCCTCATTTCATTAAGAGATATTATAGATACTGATGGCTGTAGACTGGAAGGATATCTTGTAAAGGTCCATCCCACATTAGCTCCTAAGAAACTGGCCGCAGATGCCATCCGATCTGTCCACCCAGACTCAGCTGGCCTCTCGGTTTCCCCAGGCTGTAGGACCGAATGCCGGGCAGAACTCCTCCCAGCAGTCTGCCGAGCTCCTCATTGCTGCGGATAGCCAACTGTAGGTGCTGAGGGACCATCCTGTCCTTCTGCTGTCATGAGCCATGTTTCCTGCTAATTCCAGGTTGTCAGTGGTCAGGCACTCGAGTACAGCTGGCAGGTAGATGAGAATGCATCTACAGAACATCCTTTTCAACTCATTTGGGATTTGAGGCTGCAGTTGAGATATTATTTGAGCTTTTGAGATGTTAATCAGCTGCTGTTGGTTGTAGAAAACTGCCTCGTTGCCATGGTTACGCATCATAACAAATGTCCAAAATTAAAAAAGTTTCAATAAAAATCCTTCCAGCTGCACACCACCCGATACAATAGGAAACAATCATCCAAAAAATGTGATTTACATCCAGAAAAAGAGGAATTAACATTTCCAAAAGCAAAATCTCAGAAAGAATGTGACAGAGCTGCTCCAACATGCAGCCACCTTGAGCAGCGCAATTCTAGAACTAGGCTTTTACACTTGACAAATCAATTCTAGAACTAGGCTTTACTATCATGTCAAACTGATTTGCTTACAAAAGCAGTAAAAGCTTAATAAAAAAAAAGAAGTTATTTTGTTTTTGTTTTTCAGGTTCGGGCCTCTAATTACAGTTAACTGGTCAGATCGGGTGCGGAAAAAAATTATATGTCTCGGGCCAGATTTTTGAGGCCCAAATGCAACTCTCAGGGGTCCCCACAGTGAGCAAACTCACATGAAAGATTTGGCTCTTTTTTTTATGCCAGATGCCCTTCCTGATGTAATCTGAGCTTGAACCCACAATGTCAGAATTGTAAGACTGTGGCACTAACCACCAAGCTACCACAGCCCCCTCTTAGTATCTTTTGAAAAGTAACCCCTATAACAACAAACTCCTAGTGACTTTACTACCCTGTGGGGTTCCTTAGTGGAAAAATTTAGCCCATTGAAACTCATTAAAAATTAACTTTTTGATCCCATATTTCTCATCTCATGCATCTCCTTTGCAACTGCAGTTTGGTGCAAAAGTCTCTCATCTTGTCCAACAAAATTTAGTTTTGATGTGAATAATAATTTGATGCACTAATAAACATTTGATACAACACAGTAGATCCACTTGCATGCAGGCTGGAAAATTATCAACACCAACCCACTTGTGCTGGCTTGACTCAAAACAGGGTCAAAAATGGCTATTAAATAAATAAAATGTAGACTAGGGGTGTGTGAGAAGAACAGAGATGGCTAATATTTTGGAGATGGAAATAGGCAGACCGAGTAACATTGTTGATGTGTGACGTGAAGGAGAGAGTGGTGTCGAGGATGACACCGAGACTCTTGACCTGAGGCGAGGGGGATAGCAGAGAGTTGCTAAGGGGGACGAGAAGATGTTCTGATTTTGAAATAGAGTTTTTGGTACAGACGAGGATGATTTCTGTTTTGTTACTGTTTAGTTGAAGGAAATTGTTAGAAAACCAGTGATTGAGCTCACAGAGACAGTCGGTGAGGATGGAGGGTTGGTGAGTGGAGTTTGGTTTGGTTGGCGAGTAGAGCTGTGTGTCATCAGCATAACAGTGGAAAAGGACACCAAATTTGCAGAAGATGTGACCTAGAGGAAAGAGGTAAATTATGAAAAGGAGAGGTCCGAGGACAGAGCCTTGGGGCACACCCGCGGAGACAGGCGGGGGAAGAACGAAAGAATTTAAGCTGAATGAATTGAGTGCGGTCAGAAAGATAAGATTTCTGTAGTGGGTATACTGTGCTTAGAAACCAAAGTACACCGGTTAGTAAAACGTAATCGTTAATTTATTTTGATTTTTAAGCATATTGAACATTTCAGAATTTCTCTGATGCTTATATATAATAAAATAATGTATAAGCTTTTTTTAGTGGGTATACTTTGTATACCCACGTATCACATAGACTACACCACTGGATCCAGGTGTTTGAGGAGATGAAACCCAAAACACATCCTGGATCTATTAGAACATCACTGGATCATGTCAGATTTAGAAAACTTCCTCCAGTGTAAAAAACAACCTTGATGCTACCAGGCTCCCAAAACCAGCAGCATAAGTTTATTAGCAATACTTTCTCATGACAGTACCATCCAACCACTATCAGCCTTTTTTATTGTTTAGACTTTTCGAAACAGTATTGTGTTGTTTTTAAGAAATTTTCCAGAAGAAACTGAACGCTCTAACATTGATTGTACTGTAACGTAAACAATTAGATGAAGATTTAAAGCTTAGTCAGTTTCGCTCATGGGACTGTTGTTTATTCATGTGAAGTTTCTTGCATAAAACGTCCACATTTTGTTCTATAAAAGTCAAACTGAGCAACTGAATGGTCTTTCAGATCTTGACTTTAAATCTAAAAATGGAAATTGGAGCTTTCAGAAGTGAAATGGGACTGTGGTTTTCTTTCCAGTTGATTCAAGTTTTTCTATTAAAAACAGATGATGTTGTGCTTGGAAGAGCTGGGATAAAAAATGAAGCAACAGCCCCATCTGGCTTTACCAGGCAGTACGCAGCGTGGTTGTAGAGATGAACATGAACAGATTTAACTTTATTCTTTATTTTAAAAAATATAAAATTAAAATGAAAAAAAATCTGAAGAATCTGTCATTTCTAAAAAAAAAAAAAAAAAAATCCTCATAAACAGGCAAAAAAATAAAAACAAAAAAACTTAAAATGTTTTCAAGGTTGCATTTGAGTATTTCAACAAAAAGGTTTCAATTTTTTTTTATTTTTTTTTTTCCATTTTCTGGAACAAAAAATTCTAAACTATTGTTTTGGGGCTGAGCAGTTTAACTTTAGTAGTCCTGAGAGCAATGTGAATAACCTCCAGTCAAATTATAATTCATATAGACAAGGAGATAGGAA